CATACTCCAACACACTATAAGTCCCCATTCTAATTTCTAGATTCAATGCTCCTTCACCCCACACTATCCTCTCCATTGTGTGAGTACCTTTGACATGGAGTCTCACAGAACTGAGTGTCTGGCCAGCTGTGTTGCAGGCTGAGCACACATAGAGACCACAATCCCGTGCCGTGCAGTAAAGCACCTTGAGGATGAAATAGCCCTCTCTGTCCTCATAGAGCAGGTGTCTCCTTCCAGGGGACAACACTTTCCCATCCTTCTGCCAGACAATCTCTGGCTTGGGCTTGCCAGTGACATAACAGCGGAATTTAGCATGCTTCCCTTCATTCACGGTAAAGGCTTTAGTAGTAGGTAAACCAGGAATGATTTCTCCATTCTGTCTGGTTTCTGATAACATATTTTGCTCAGGGTGACATCTTCGCCTCTTAGCATCTTGTGCCTCTGGATGCTTCTTGAAATGGCAGTTTGGTGGAGCATCCTGAAATGATTCATCATGGCATACCACAGAATCCACCAGAAGCACAGCTGCAGCCATGGTCTCTCCAAAACTGTTCTGTGCCCGGCACATGTAGACGCCTGCATCTGGGAGACGGGTGTTGTAGATGTGCAGAGAGTGCCAGTCATCAGGCTCTGTGGCCACCTTGTAATGGCTGCTCTCAAAGATGTCTGACAGTTTGTGTCCATCCTTTTCCCATGAAAGCTGCCCTGAAACCCTGCAGGCAAAAGTCACATCCTCTCCCCAGGCCACTTGGGCCGACACAGGTCTACTGAGGAAGACTGGAGGCTGGGCATCAAGATCTCCCTTAGGTTTCAGTTCTGTGGCCTCCACTTTGAGAGTAGCAGCTGCATAGGTTTCACCCACACAGTTCTTAGCTTTGCACACATATCGTCCACTGTCTGTCGGACCAGCTTGAGACACCAGCAAACTGTATGCGTCCCCATCAGCCTTCACAATTATTCGGCCTGATGATAACTCCAGTTCAGAGCCATCCTTCTCCCAGACAATGCTGGGACGTGGTTCACCAGCCACTTGCCATTTCAGTACAGCATTAGCCCCACTCTGCACTGTGAATGTGCGGGGATAGGCAAGAAATCGGGGAGCTCCCCCAAAGACATCCATTGCCGACTCAGTCAGGATACAGTTAGCTGAGGCCAGGGACCTACAGAGAATTAGATAAAAAATTACAGCTAAAGAAGCTGCTGCAAAGGGCAAGGTTGAAGGAAGAGGAAGGAAAGAGCCTTTCATGGAAGAATAAACCATGAAGTGGGATACATAGATTGCTACTCAATTTGGCATGCAGGGAAGTAGTTGGAGAATTGCTTTACAATTATCTCATCTCGCATGGCTGTTCAACTCCCTTTCAGAAACTTTGCAGTGGTTCTGTGAAAGATTAGGTTGAAAGGAAGGCACTTTATGATGTTATCCAGAGCTTGAAACAGTTACCTTTTTTGGACTGCAACTTCCAGAATCCCCCAGCCAACATTGCCACTGATTATGCTGGTCAGGGAATTATGGGAATTGTAATCCAAAAGCATAACTGTTCCATTCTCTACATATGATTGTTACATCATGTGGGAAATTGAGTTGTGAGCATTCAACACACATTGCTTTGACCGTCCTCCCACAATGGGCTGTGTGAATAGGCTGTCTGTCCCCATGATAGCCCCTCCCAATATCCCATTCTCCATAACCTTGCTTCATTCAATCTGGTTCTTTTATGCATTGCACTATACTATGGAATGGGGAGGTTCATGAACAGACAATCCTACTGTAGGACAGGGAACTGGATCAGTTTCACTGGTTTTATGGTGAAATTAAGATACCTACAAATGCTCTGCAGGCAGGCAGAGCCCATCAAACTCTTGTCCTCCTGCATCACAGCAGCTGCTCTGTGGTGGCATCAGGCCAAGGTCATGGACAGAAACATGGCTTTGGTGTGCAATTCTAGGCTTTGTGATCCTGAGGTAAAGCAGTTGTGTGGGTGCGTCCATGCACATATGCATGTAATCTCACCCACCATGAGGCATTGTTTGCTAACACCTTTATTGTTCTTTCCATAATAGTGGCTGTATTGGGCTGTATGACACAAAAACATAAGCAACAATCTGGTGGCATCTTAAGACTGAACAATGTATTACAGCATAAGCCAGAGGCAGGCAACTGTGGCAGGTATGGGCCCATTACTTTGCAATGGGATGCTCCAGCAGCTGCACAAACTAAAAAATGTTCAAAAATGAAAAAAGTGGGTGGAAGTCTACTTCTGGTTTTTTACGAGTATTTTTTAGGTTAAAAAGTACAGGGGAGGACTAATCAGTTTAAAAAAAATTGCTATGACTGGAGACTGGAGACTTTCAGAAGAGACAATTCAGCCTTTTGCTTTGTTTTGGGTTTTTTAGCTAGAAATAGGATGGTTGGGGGGAGAGTTGGGGTCAAAACTACAAAATAATCTTGGGGGTCACACTTTGCCCACTCTTGGTCTAAATTTTCATGCACGTAATCATATCCTTCCATCTCTCTGTACATCCCAGGACTCTCTATGCACAACATGTGCATGTTAAACCAAAGTTGAAATAAGCAACGCAGAAAGTAAACTAAATTCCCTAGTTTCTAAGGTAGCTATGGAAGGCCAGGGACAAGCATCAATGCTATTTTCCTAAGCCACAAATAGCAGAGGACATCACAGTGTCTCTTCTCCCTCACTCTGAACTAGGATGGCTATAATGTGGCTTGACATTCAAACAACCACCAGTCCACAATGCTGCTCACAAGTCAACAGTGATGCTGGTTATTACTTTATGCAGCATTTCAACATTTCAAGTGTTCAAAGCACTCCCAATACATCAGTTGTAAAGTAGGTCAGTATAGTTATCCCTGCACAGTGTAAGTAGGAGGGTGGGGGCAAGGAGGTTTGAAGGTGAAAGAGTGATTTCCTAAGGACCACTTAGCGAGTGTACAGCTGAGGTGAGATTTGAATTGGGTACCAGCTTGTATTTCTTGCCTGAATGCCAGACCAGCTCTCAGAGGATCCCAGTTCCTTATGGAGCTCTCCACATGCCTGCCCTATGAATGCATTCCTTTTCTATCATGCTCTGGGTAATGCTCCACAGATAAGAGGCTGTCACTGCCATGCAGACCCCAAGGCAGACAAGAAAGGGAGAACATTCCACAATGGGCCCCACCCAGGCAGACCTCTCTTTTCCCTAGCTCATGTTTTCCATAAGGGACAGAAGTGATGGTGCCACCAGACAGACCCATGCAGTGTCCTTGGCTCAATGGCACAAACCTCCCAAACACAAAAGGGTTGCTCCCAGGAAATCAAAATTTTGGTATGGAATTTGGTTACACATATATCTTCACCCTTCCCAGCCTGCTAAACTTTAGTGCCATCAGTTCCTTAGTTCATTTTATCCTTCTGGTATCCAAAGACCATCCCCAAGAATTCCCACTGTTTTATCATTCAGGTTGCATCCATACAGTAATAATCCAGTTTCACATCACTTTAACTGCCATGCCTCAATGCTATAGATAGAGCTCTCCGACAGGATTTCACAAAACGACAATTTCCAGAACTGAGCCACGGCAGTTAAAAATTGTGCAAAACTGGATAGTTTCTGCAGTGCAGATGCAGCCTCAATGACCAGGATGAGTTGTTAATGCTAGACTCATCACCACTGGAAATCCCAGTGACTTGGATAGATTGTTAATGGCAGAATCCCCACCGCTCACAGGAAAAAACCCTCCCCAAGTACCACTATGGGTCATACCTGCCTGCCTCCCTCCCTTTCTTTCCTTTATCCCCATAGGAACACTTACCTAGTGAGGGGTAGGAGAAGCAAGCCGTGAGGGAGCCAGATAGACCTGCCTTCCTCTTAGCATTCACTAACCTCAAACCACCTTCTGCATCAACCTTTGAACTGCCCGGTCAGTCAATTCCGGCTTCTCCTCTTCCTCATCAGGCAACCTCCATCTGTCCATCTATCCATCTATCCATCTGTGCAGATCCCAGTTGCTCTTTTTCGTAGTTCTAGCCCTTTCTGGACCATGCCCCAGACTGGGCATCCATGCTTCCCGACTGCCAATCCTGACTTATCCCCGCACATACACACATGCTTCCTGCCCCTCACATGCTGTGGGTCCCTGGCCTGCCTCTGCCCTGCTCCCCAGGCGTCTGAGAGTGAGGAACTAAGAGTTACAAATGCTTGCAGCTGCTGTCCCCAAAAATACCCTCTGATGACATGGCTGGGCTGATAAGCGGGGGCTGGGACTTGGCTAAGTATAGAGCCCAGCAGGGAGGAGCACAAAGGCATCCCTCAGCCCTAGAGCTGAGGCAGGCACATCCCACCTCAGGGGAGGAAAGAGAAGGAAAGGTTCGCTGTAGCCTCCAAGAAACTAAGAGCATCCCTCCAGGATGCCCCCAACTTGCCTGAAATTCTGGCCCAGGTCACACGATGACAAGAGTGGGGTTAAATTACTGGACAGCCCTGGCATCACCAGCTGGCATCCTAGGGCAGCTGTTGGGCCCCACCACTAGCACCCACTATTCAGACTTGCCAATAGTCCTGGGGGAAAGAAAAAGTTTTAATGGCACCAAGAGCACCACAGGGCTGACCACTGCTGACAATCTGCCCTGGATTCTCAGCACCAGGAAGGAGGATCTGTGAACATCCATTTTTCCTTTCCCACCACACTAAATCAGAATTGTGGGAAATTAAAATGGCAGCTATCAGCCAGCCTTAGAAGGGATGGTGCCAGGTACATTTTAGGGGGCTCATCAGCCTAGCAAAGAGCCCACAAAAGGGTGCTTTGCTGTTGGCAAGAGCTTCAGACACAGCCAGCCCTGTTGTTGTTCTGTGCCTTCAAACCATTTCTGCCTCATGGCAAGCCTAAGGTGAACCTATCATGGAATTTTCTTGGCAGGATTTGTTCAGAAGAGGTTTGCCATTGCCTTACCCTGAGGTTGAGAGCAGGTGACTTGCCCAGCATCACCCAGTGGATTTCATGGCCAAGCGGGGAATCGAACCCTAGTCTCCAGAGTCCTAGCCCAACATTCAAACCACTACACCATGATGGCCCTCTTAGCCAGCCCTGTTACTAGGTACTTAGGAAACAGAAACCAGGCAGCAGCTTTAATGTTAGAAAGCATGATATCATAGCAGATTGGAATGGGGACGTGACAAAGGAGATGGCCCTGCCAGCCAAAATGAGAAATGAAAGGTCAGAAGAAAACTTAATGTTCTCTCACTGCCACCACCACTTCAGCAAGTGCTGAACATTAAAGAGTTGTTATTTTCTCTCCAAGACAAGAATAACTGACAATCCTCATTTGTTTTCCATGTTGCAAAGAATAATGTTATCAACAAAAATATACTGGCACAATTTTTTTAAAAAAAAATCATGAGTATTTGCAACTTTCTTTTTTCCTGTGCCATGCCTTCTGAGATTGTTTTCAGTTCTTTTGTATGACAAAGTTACTGCCCTCAAGTTTTCTGTTAACACATGGCGAGAGGCAATGAGTGGAATATAAGGCAGGGGCTCAGAGGGAAGTAGAATGATTTTACTCATGAGGGGCTAATTCGTATATCCAGCAGAATCAATTCCTCCATGCTGCCCACACACAACTGTATTATTTTAGGCTAGAGATGAGTGGTTACATCTTTGAAAGAGATGGAAATGATTCCCACATTTAAAAACAAAACAGCTATTCAAGCATACTGCTAAGATGACCCCTTTTCTCTAACATTCTCTCTTTTTTTTCATGCAGAGAGTTATGAGACACTCTGAACTTGCAACAAGCTACCACAAAAGGTGATGGACTCTCCTACATGAGAAGTGTTTAAATGGAGATGAATGGCCAATTAGTTGGGATGGTGTAGCAGTGCTTGATCATATTGTCAAGGAGCTGGACTAGATAACCTTTGAGATCCCCTCCCAGTCTGTTTTGTTATTCTAATACTCTTGTATCATTGTACAACTGATACTGCTGAATGCAAAAATTCCAACTGTAGCTGTGTGGATGAGCACCAGGCAGATTTTGAGGTTTGTACAGATCACCAAGATCTTTCCTTGAATTTCTAGATGAAGTGGAAAGTCTCCATGATACAGATGACTCGTAGGCAGTTTGCATATGACTGTTGTTGATCAATGTATCAGCAATTACCTATTCTACAGTGGATGATAAAAAATGTTTCCCTGCAATCCTTAGCATACTTCTCCCTTATAGATGTAGATGGGTACCCAATTTGGAGGGGAGTTGTTATGGTCCTGGGGTAGTTCTAACCCATCCCTGAATATATCCATCCTTGAATATATTCATCCCATGCCTGCTTCTGTACCTTTGGGGTCCAGAGATTATCCACATGAGAGTCTCCTTCTGGCCCATGTTATACATCCCTGCCTGTGGGAACCAACTGACAGATCTTGCTTCGATCACTGCATAGTTTCAGAGTACACTGAAATCTAACCTCAGCTGACAGATGCCAAGCAGCAGTATGTCCTGAATTATTTGATACGTGCTTGAAAAATTACACTCTTTGGCGTCTCCCTCTCAATTCTTGGACGGCCTTCCAAAGCCTGTGGTTGAAAGGCAAGCAGCACCACAGAATGCCAGGCACTCAGAAAACCGTGTCCGCTGTGTTTGTGTTTGGATCCTAGTCACCACATCACCAATTACTAGGGTAGGGGAAAGTGGGAGGGTATGTAACAATCACAACCAGATGTTAACAGGCAGAGCTTGGAAAAGTTGCTCTTTTGGACTATAACTCTCAGAATCCACTAGCGCAGTCTGGAGGATTCTGAGAGTTGCAGTCAAAAGAATAATTTGCCATTAGTTTTCTGGCTAAGCAAAATATTTAGCTGTTTAGCATACACCCCTATGTAATTAATTCGTTGATGGTCTGAATTAGGAAGTTGTCACTTCAAAGCTCACCTCGGGTGTATGAACTCTAACTTACCCAGAACTACATTATTTGCAACAAGAGTGTGCTAATCTCAGCCCAGCTGTTCTCACAGTTGCTGAAATAGTTTGTGAAGTACTTTGGCTATTTGAAGTATGCTGTCTAAAAACGAAGTCCTGTACAAATACAATGCATAGACTCATGTATGTGCTTGATCATGGCATACACAGGACTAGACATCTCTGCATCGCTTTCATTCCTTTCCCTACAAAGAAGAGTTCCCTATGCAGAAAAGGTGTCAAATGTGAAGCAACTCTGTGAGTGGGTGTGTTCAACAAAACAAAACACTATTGAACATCAGGATCCTTTGTAATAATGCTAGGATGAGTTTCTCTTCTTGTTTCTAGGATGCAAAATAAGTTAATCCAATAAGAGTTTTTAACACTGAAGAGACTGGGAGAAAGAATTTTCCTGAGCAGATGTAACTATTAAGCTTATCGCACTGTGTTCTTGGAACGTGATGAGAACGGAATGGAACGGATTTTATCGCCACGGTATGATCCCCATTGAGTTCCCATTCTGTGCTCTGACAGTCCCTAGTCCGTTTCAGGAGAAGAACTGTAAAAATGCGTCCTCAGCCAGCAAGAACGCTTTCAGACCATTCCAGATGATGTGTGTGCAATAATCCTACTCGGTCTCAATCTGTCCTCATGTTCTGATTGCCTAAGACAACCTCTTCCCCTCCCGTCCTAGAACATCCACAAACTCAACGCTTCCAGTGTTGATGCAAGGAAGGTGCCACAGGCAATTAAAATTTTATTTTATTTTATTTTTGTAAATTGAATTGTGTCGCGTTTACAAGAAAAAAAACAATGAATGCTCGCTACCTAAACCTCTCGGTACCATTCTTTCCAATGCAGACATAGGGGTTTTCGCAACAGTGAGCGTGCGCCAATGTGGGATGGCTGAGGAACTACTTTAGCGCCGGTACCAGTACAACAGTAAATGCAGTGCGATAATATGTGTTCGCATAATGTTACTATCCCGTTACCAATAGTCTAATGCAGTAACACCCATTCCCATATTGTTACGTTCCAGGGACTCTATGAGAATGTTATAGGTACTGGTGTGATAAGCTTATATGTCCAAACACTTTTGAACGGTCTTGAATAGAGAGGTTGAGGGATTCTGGGAGTTGTAATCCAAAACCTAAATTGCTGAGCTCTAAAAAGCTCTGATCTGATTGACCACCCGAAGGAACAGCCTTGAGGTGTAGCTCAGATTCCCTTTAGCACCTTCTAATCATTCTACTGTACTCTTGACCAGCCAAAATGCACTCACTGACAATTTTATAGTGTGCAGAAATCTTGGCTTTAATTTCAAAAAAGTAAAAGGTTCTTTAATTTCCATTCTGATCTGGATCTAGATTAACAGTTATTGCTTAGGGTTGGTGAGATTTATCAGGCTTCAGTTCTTAGCAACTTGACTACACTGATCTCCAGGCAAATTGCAGGAGGGGGATTAGAAATATGGAAAACATTGCCCCCACTGTTAACACTGCCCAGCACTACCACCCCATCCACTGACAGCCTTCCCCTCTCCCCCTTTGACACCCTGCCCTGGGCCCTGTCCCCTGGGCAGCACTGTCCTTGCATTCCAGACGTCTCCTGTGTTTTGCTGCCCAGGAGATAATATTCATGGCTGGCAGACATTTGCGTCAGTGTCAGATACAGTCTCAATGCCATCGTGCCCTCAGCCTGGCTCAGCAAGGAAGGCAGGAGGCAGAAGGAGCTGGGTGGGTTGGACTCAGAGGAGAAAAGTGAAGAGCCAGACCACCTCACACAAGAATATACAGGACTTCTGCACGCATGCACATAGTCTCAAGGGCACAAAGACTCAGTTTGCACTCTTTCACACATTCAAAAAACAAAAGGCAAAAAGCAAGCCCAGGTATTTTGCTCCCCTTGCACATCATTCCTTTGCACATGCTGGATCAGAGCTCTTGGCACGCCTTGCCCATCATCAACTCCATGCTGATCTTGTTGTTTGTCCTGCTGGCTCCTGCCACTGTTGCTGGTTGCAGCAAGGGAGAAGTTGACAGGCAGCTCATCCTGGCCAAAGTCAAGGCGCATTTCCTGGAGTCCCTTGGTCCTGTTCCACAAAGTGAAAAGCTCCAGGTGGGACGACGAAGGGGGCTCCACAGACGGCATGCCTCAGGAACATCCATTGCTCCAAAGTGGGAGGAAGAGGACACATCCCAAGTGATCACCTTCCCATCCAGAGGTAAGCAAATCAATTATAGGAAGACTGCTAGGAGAGTTAAGGCACCTTAAGAACACGACGTGGGCGAGGTTTTAATCACCTAGAGATCATTTTATCAGGAACAGAGCTTGGGAAAATTATTTGGAATTACTGCTCCCAGATCTCCCACTGGAGCCATGCTGGCTGGTGAATTTTGAGAGATGTAGTCTCCAAAAAGGAGGTTTCCAAAGTGTGGTTAGGAATTGCTTTACCAATGGCCTTCACAACTGATGGCAAATTACTCCCTCTTCCTGACACTCCACAGATTTACAACGCTGCTGATGCCTCTAAATCTTAGGTCTTTGCCGCTGTTCTTCACACTTTCTTGTACAACTTTCCCTTCTTGTACAGCCGGTTCTGTCTGTGCTTATTCAGAGGTTCTAGTGAGTTTAGTCAAATTAACATGTAATCCAATGTAATCAGAAGTAAGACACATTGAGTACAGTGGAACTAATTGCCGACTAATGTGAGTTTATCTACATTTGTCCCTCTGAACTGAAAGGAAGTATGTCCAAATAGCCATTCATAAGACTGCATTGAGCTACTGCAGACTTACAGTTCAAAAGGTGTATACTTACTCAGAAATAAGCCTGTTTTCAGTGTGAATTACATTCAGGTAATTTTGGATAGGATTGTTGCCTTAGCGAGGAATTTTAGGATTGGATATGGTTTTTCCCTAATCAACATTAGTAACATCATTTCTAACTATGTAGGAAATGGCATCAGGAATAATGAATGGGAGAAAAAAAGGGCAGGTAAATTTAAACCCTGCAAAAGAAGGTAATTACTAATTATGAGACTTTTAAAACTACCGTAGTTACTTCTCTCTCTTTTTAATGATTCGAGTAGCTCTTCCACCACAATACAGCATTAGCATA